TTACCACAATCCATGTGAACAAGTCCTAAGGAAATATAATGCAATGCAGTGCATGTCTATTTTCTAGCCATTGAAGTATCAAAAGCTTGTAAGTTGCTGTCAGGAAAAGCAGCTCAGACTCTCCGAGTGACTTAATATTTTTGGCACTGTGACATGTGGGACATTTTTTGAGCACTGATGTAGATGACCATGGGTTAATAGCTATGGGCCAGTAGAGGGGAGACGTCATCAAAAGCTCCCCTGGAGTCTGTTCTTTGCGAAGAAGACAGCTTTGGCAATGGCGCAGCAGTCCCGTTCTCCCATACGATATCAATACGAGGCATCGCTTCCCAGAGCCTCACAACAACATGCTCCTCGTCACGCAAGTGAATATATTATAAGAGAAAATCGATACACTATTGAAGACACAGTGACTGAATTAATGTTTTATGTAGGAATACAATAACTTTTGTCCACCATCTTCTGATCAAAACATTTTAGAATTTATGTATCATTTATTTTAACAAGAGTATTTATTTTACTGTATGCCATATACTTAGCACTTTTCTAGCCTTAAAAAAGAAAAATGGTTTCTACAAATAAGGATTCTCTTTTCCACTACTTAAGGTGTTTAATTTGTTTTTTAAGGTAAGACAAATATTCTCACCAACATTGGAACCCTAAAGTTACCAAGGAATCTTTCATTCAGAGCACTTGAATTTTTATTATGTTTTATTGAAAAGACTATAGTTTCTTTTTTTATCTGTGAGAGAAAATTGTAATTTTATTGGAAAATGTGCATATTTTGCTTCAGAAAATTTAATACAATTCACTGCTATGGAGTCAATTTCAATTCACAGTGATCCCATAGGACAATGGTTCTCAACCTTCCTAATGCTGTGACCCTTTAATACAGTTCCTCATGTGGTGGTGCCCCCACAACCATCAAATTATTTTCCTTGCTGTTTCATAACTGTAATTTTGCTACTGGTATGAATCGGGCGACCCCTGTGAAAGGGTCGTTTGACCCCCAGGTTAAGAATCGCTGCCCTAGGACTTGGAAGACCTGCTTCGCTGGGATTCTAACGCTGTAAATGACATGGCCCGTGGACTCAAAGGGCTGAGTTTGCGGTTAACAGCTGAGTGATCACCCCACTCTGCCACCATGCAGTACCAAATACTTTCTTTTCCAGGTCTCAGCATCATCCACAAGAATGTTTAACCTAAACAAAGGTTTCAATACCAAAGAAACAAACTTTGGTGTTTA